TAGTCTAGAGTAAATAAAGAGTGCTGCCAGACTGCAGCAGCTAGGAGAGGCATGACATGGGATGCGAGTTTTGAACCGTGAAATATCAGATCCCATGTGCTGACGACAGAAGTCAGTGTGGACAAGAGCATTAAAATCCTAAATTTTTTAAAAGTTTTGAATGTAAACTTAGTGGGGAGCAAAGCACACCCTCCTTTTGTCTCTAGAAATGTAAATGCGACATTAATTGTAAATTCTGTTGTAGTCAGCTTAGAAGCTACTTTGAAAGGAAGGCCGTGTAAAAGGTAAAAGTTTGCTTCTGTAGTGCTGCTGCTTCACTAAAGAATGAACCAGGGCTTGGGAATTGGCCAGAGCTTGTTGCTTCTGGCCCATTTCCAGTCAAGCCCTTAAGAAAGCCATCAACATGTTGTTGCCGTTAATGCCTTTGTGGTCAAATACTGTGGTCTGCAGAAAACATTAGAGCTGTGCTAATTTACTCCTATAATTATAAGTGGTCAAAAACCGGGAATAAAGATTGCAGCAAAACTTTTCAAGGGATATGCTACACCTTTTCATGAAGCTATGGATTATGAAGTTTGAAGTTTTCTGTGAAATATGGTCAACAAAATGTAAATTTTTTGCATCTAAGGATGCCATGTTGTATTGCAGTTCTAATCTCAGCTTGTGGACACTGTCAGCCAGGAGGGGGACGCTGTTCAGATGAGAAGAGTTGCAGGCTTCTGGCCTTTTGAAGTTCACACACTCAGGTTTATAGCCTTACCTTGTTCCAGATGGACAGGTTTGTTTTCATACATGGTACTCATAGATTACAGAGTTAAAACCAGCTATGTCTGGAGGAGTTCTGTTGATGGGCAGTAAAAAAATAACTGGAGGAATTACTGTTTGTGGACAGGCAACCACAGGAGCTCTGCAAAGCAGCCTCAGTTTTAGTATTAGTTATAACAGTTTTCACAACACTGTCATACATTCCTCTGTATCAACCTTGTAGAATGAATTCTGTAGTGTAAATGCAGACACCTTTGGTAGGTCAGGTAGGGGTCAGGTAATTAGGTGGGAAAACTGCAGCAATGACAAAACCATTTAGGGAATAAACATTTCAATGACTTTGTCCTGTTTCCTAGGCTGCTGCTGGTAACATAAGGGTCAGCCTCTCTGATGCTGATAGTTGTGATGCTATGCTTTCTAAAACAAGTTTATTAGATAACCTGCAATTTTTTAGAGTTGCTGAGGGACAAGTGCCTCTGTCAAAACAGGAGCATAGGCTTTAAAAACACAGTTTATCTTTTGACACAGTTTTAGATGAGACATTTTCATGGAATTTGCCACATTTGTAGGACATGCAAAGAGATTTATTGCTCACATGGTTTTGAGTGAAAAGTGTAATCCGCTGCAGAAGTAAATACTGAATTTGATAAATTTTCTAAAAAAAAAAAAAATAATAAAAAAAAAAATTAAATCCCCCTCTCTGATTAACTTTTGTTGGATTTCATTTTACATTACATTTTTCTCTGCCTTTTAAAAATAATAACTAAAAGGCGGGACGTGTTCTGTTTTGGAGTATTATCCTGCTGTATAAGCACTGGGTCCTTTTCCCGGACTGCCGGAACACCCAGCAAGACTGCTAATACTGAGGGAGAGTGAAGCCTTAGAGCAGTGAGTTTCACCCCAGAAAGCTGTATCCAGGGAATGCAGATGTGATTTCTAATTGAACTGTGTTTTGTTTAACTTCATCAATGAAATTATTTTAATTGGAATGCATCATTAAGGCTACAGAGAAGATGGCTGCTGTGTGATCCAAAGGATTGAGAAGAAACTGGAGAAAAACAAAGAACAGCTAAACAATCTAAATGGAATAGACACTGAAATAATCAGTAGTGATTTTAAAAAGTGGTGGCTCAGAGAAACTGCAGGCATTGAAGAAAAACTTTGACAAAGTAAACTAAGGACAAATAAAGTAAAAAGAAAAAGGAAGCATGGCTTGGCGTAGAGAAGAGGAAGAAGTTCCCAGTCAATGTAAATGGAAGGAAATGTAAGAAACTTTGAAAGAGATACCAGCATCACCAAACTGGGTCAATTTTTAATAGAGAAAATTCTCACACACAAAAACTGTGTCTGTGGGATTATGCAAGTATGTAGTATTTTTGAGGATGTTCATTGCTTTCCCAGATGTGTGTGTTATCCTTTGTGGTTTGGCTGAGATTAGAGAGACTAAAAGTGTTTATCAGAGATGTGGGAAAGTTCGTTCACCCTTTGCAACCCCCCCCTCCAAACTGTATCTGACTTCCAGTTACATATCATGTAAAAAGAATCAAAGAGCCAAGAATTTATGCTTTTCTCACATAAATTCCAGTTCAGTTCTTAGGAAATGTGGACTACCTTCTTGACCCTCACTGACCTATGCTTCAAGACAACATTTTCCACTAGTAACTGCAGCTCTCCTCCTACTTAGGAAAAGAAGGAATATGTGCCATGGGAGCTGTTTTCAGTAATCATTGAGACTTGATATCCTGCAGGCTAATGTAAAGTTTTCAGGGAATGGCTGCAGAAGAGGACCAGAAGTACTGTTTTGGAGTATGAAAATAAACACCCCATTAAGTTTATTAATGTTTTTCATGCCATTGAATAGAGGCTGATGCTCATTTTATGTAAAATTATGTAGGATGTTTAGTCTCACATGCCCTATAGTGTTGACATATTGCTTCACAAAAATTGTTTAGTTTTTTTTTAGCTCATTATGCCCATTCATAGAGTGAGTATACAAATGTGTGTTTCAGGCAGCAGTTGCAAGACCTCATTAATTAATAACAAAAAGTACATATATTTTTTGAAATACAAAAACAATGTAATATAATATTTGGTCAGCAGTAAGAGTATGATGAAAAAGATTAAAGGAAAATGAAGAGGAAAAAGAAAATAATTCATTCTAGACTTCCACTGATAAGTGAACAGACTATCAAAGACTGCTGATTACTAATTGGAGGGTTAAATGAGAAGTAATTTCATTTAGGTCAATAGAATACTATCGTATGAGATTGGAATCAGGCCACATCAGCAGTTCATTTGCCATCTAGCAGTTTTAATATGAACAAGAGTACTTAATTCTCAGACCTCTCTTCCTTTTGAGTAACACAGAAAATATTTCTGTTTGTATGGCTAGATAATTCCATAACTGTTAATGCTTGAATTGTTGTGCAGGCATTTTTATTTTATAATATTTTATTTTAAAAATAAATAATGCCTGCTCTCTAGAAGTAGAACCTTTAATTTTCAGTCAAGGACTGAAGAGACAAATATTGGATGTGAAAGGGGATGTAGGGTTTTATTTAGTAAGATTTAGAATCTACTTTTTATAGGTGTATAATTCCTCTGATGAGCATTAGAAATTTAGAGCAGTTGAAAATATTGGCTCTTAAACTGTATGTTTCAGCTTCATCTCAAGGAGCATTTCTTTCCTTTTCTGGTAAAAGCCCTTCCTTATCGTGGTGCTATTAAATTATTTTTCACTTGTGCTTCTCTTTCATTTGTACCTTAGAAAAATAATTATTCCAGTCCTGAGTTGATTAATGTCTTGATTTGCAAGATATGTGCTTAGATTTTATAAAAAACTACCTCCTTATCTGCCTTTTTGATACTTTTTTTAATTCTAAAGGCTTTTTATGAAGAGCAGATCCCTGGACTAATTTCTTTTGGGGTATGACATGAGGTGTGATTCAATCACTCTTTTCTAGGCTTTCCTACCTCTTTGCCTTTCTTTTGTTTTTCTGAAGTGTTCTGCAGCACAGAGCTGCATTTAGATGAAAGGGTAGCTCTTCTTTTTAATGAGGTGGCTGTGACCCTCCATCTGCAAAGATCCTATCAATGCCATGATCATATGAGTTTTGCTAAGCTCAAGTACATTCTAAGCACATAAATTAGAGCATGAGTACCTACAAGTGTCTCCTCTTTTGTCACTATTTTTGCAAAGCACATTGTCTCTATGGAGAGTCATTGTAGGTGAGACCGCCGGAGGTGAACAGCTATTATTAAAAATATACTGAGGAAGGAGACTCTGCTCCTTTGGCAGATGAGGACTTAAAAAAGCATAGCATTGCTTCATCAGAGACCACAGTGTGCCCCCAGCACATCCCCATCTCTCTGCTGAAGGAAAATCTGCCAGGGGATGAGGAGAAAATGCAGAACACGACTCGCACCTGCACCAGGGCAGGGTCGGGGCCAGGTCCATTGACATGCTCTCTGTGCAGCAGGACCAGCCACACGGACCTTCACACACCCCTTCAGGGTCCTCCTGAGGTCTGCCTGCCCATGAAGGTGCCCCTTGTCCTCCTCCTGAGAGCTGGGACTTGGCCACCACTGTGGCACCAGTGGCCTGGATCCTGTGTTAAGCACATGAGGTAAAACAGGGAGGAAGACACTTGTGGGCCCTCCTGTCAAATGGGGGGCTTGGATGGCACAACAGTTAATTGCCTGGTGCTTTCCTTGGAAAAAAAAGAAGCCTTTTGGACAAACTGTTTACTCAGTGTTCAAGGTGAATAGAGTAATACGTGATCCTGAAAAACAAAGGGTGGCTTTGTTTTGTTCTGTTTTTGTTTAGCAGCAGTAGTAGGCGTGCATGTGACGTATGTATGAGTCTTGTCTTAAACCTGGGGTTTAGAATTGTTTCCTTTAGTGAAGAAATATATATTTTTGTTGTGCTTTAGCTAAGTTGTGACACTTACTGGTAAAAGAACTGACTTGTAATGTGAGAACAAGGCCTTATAAAATTCTAGCAGCCTTTCTTTTTTCCTATCTATTTGGCATGTGCAGAATTCTGAAGAAGTGGTATTTGATTAGGTACCTGCATCTGGTACCTAAGTCTTAAAGGTAGAACATACAAACTTACTCTCTTTAAAAGACTAAAACCAAACTATATGTTATATATATATATATATAATATAGAATTGATTTATCAATGTAGTGCTTCCACCTCAACCAAAAAGATTTTTTTCTATTTTTTTTCTTAGGAGGGAGGCACAGCTGGATGAAGAAGGACAATTTCTGGTCAGAATAATTTACGATGATTCCAAAACCTATGATCTGGTTGCAGCTGCAAGCAAGGTCCTTAGTAAGTAATACGGATACCTTCTTTGCACATTCATCACAAAAAAGATGCCACCCTTGCTGACCGCCCCTCTTCTCCCCCCAAATAAATCCATGTAGCAGAAAGAAACAGAATATAGAACAGAGGAAGTGAAAACAAGGTGTTGGTCAAAGATTTTTCTTTTTTTAAATCTCCTAGAAAATATTTTCTTTCTCCTCCAGGGATGGTGACTCCACCACCTCTCTGGGCAGCCTGTTCCAATGCCTCACTACTCTTTCAGTCAAGAAATTCTTCTGAACATAGGAATGAATCCTTGATCTCTCTGTGGAACAAGCATGATGAGTTACAGAAACGTTTGTGGCATAGGCAGATCTTTCATATCTGCCATTGGTTTGGGTGACATTCATTCTGAGTCCTTGCAGCTCTGGTCTGGAATTTGAAAGGTAGAATTATGCCCATCAGCATGATTTTATCTGCAGACCCAGGTGCAGCATGAATTTTTTCTGAACCAGTAATGAGCCAAGAACCCATAAAACTATGACAACTGTAGTAATGTTGAACTGGAGCAGCTGATGTGGTTTCATGCTACTGTAAACTAGAAGTAGCTCCCTTCAGACGAGCACTACTGAGTTCCTTTAGTTTCAGGTAGTGATTTCTTACCTGTATCAAAATATGAAGTGCTATACATGCATGAAATGCACAGTGTGGAAAAATCATGATGGTAACTGGTAAATCCTAATGAAATCCCTTCACTGAATCCTCATTATTTGCCATGTGGACCCTGAGTTGTGTTTTTCCCATGTTCTTGACGTGCTGATCTGGGTAGATTTTGGATACTGGCTTTCTGATTTATGAATACTATGATACTGAATGACTAAGTTCATACTCACTACAATATTAATTGACTACAATATTAATTGACTACAATATAAGTGGTGCAAGTAGTAACAAAAGTATGTGAAATGCAGTGTTTGGACTGAGTCATATTTTCCTCTTTTAACTAGATCTGAATGCTGGGGAAATTCTTCAAATGTTTGGGAAGATGTTTTTTGTGTTTTGTCAAGAATCTGGTTATGATACTATTCTACGTGTCTTGGGCTCGAATGTCAGAGAGTTCTTGCAGGTAAGAACTTTGTGCCCAATAGAAGTAGGGTCTAGTCAACAGATTAGACTGAGATACTTTCTTCATTGATATATATATTCTGTAGAACTTTCCACTGTTCAGCACTTGTGGTGGTGTTGTTCTTTTTCCCTATCAGTTAATATATTATTTAGTCACCCAGTAGAGCAATAATTTTCCCGTGGCACCTTTGACATTTAATTTCACAAAAAAGGAGTGAGAAGGCAGATAAGATGCAGATGAATTGCAGAGACATTCATAAATCTGAAATTTAATTTGAAATTCCAAAGAAAAGTTTCAAACACGGATTTCCATATGTAACAAAAGTACAAGAAACGTGAAAACACCTACCAGTTCAAATTGTCCATATATGCTGAATAAAAAGACACCTTTTTTATACCAACAGAAAATGTGGTTTTCAGATTCGTAGGACATTTCTTCTCCTAGGTTCTCTTTGACTAATTGTTAATTGTTGATTTTCACTGGGAATTTAGTAGCCTTTTGTCATCTGTTCCCTTCAAATCTCTCCAGCAATAGTAAGTGAAAAGAGCAGAGTGCATAGTTTGCTAGATTACTAAAATATTTACTTCTGTGTCTTCCTGCCTGCCCCAAATCCTGGATTATTCCAGAGCATCGTAGATGTAGTCTAGCTGAGGCTTCTTGTATAAATCCCACGGGCTGGGCAGGCAGACAGGGTATGTGTGTGCTCTGACATGTGCATACCATGTGGGATCTGTACACCATTGTCTGCCTGCTGGGTGTGGCATCCTTTCCATTTCATAGCTTCGGTCATAGGCTGCCCTCAAAGCAAGCCCTCAGATAAATGTAATTTTTAAAGATAACTCAGGTACTGAAGTGGCAGTTAGGGTTAGGTAAGATTAGGAGAGGAGGAAAAAAAGGTGTAGTTGGCCTGATGCTTCGTTCCTTTGGGTACATATGGATAAGCCAGTCCTTCCCTGTTCCTTTCCGTCATGCCCTCTTCCATTCCATGCTTCTTTCTCTGTTCCTTATGATGTGTGGTGAAGAAAAGACTGGACATGTTTGCAGTGCATGCCAAACATCAATAAAAACTTGAACAGCTTACATTTATATTCTTCTAATGACAGTATTTTAAGCTGCTTTGTTTGAATTTCAGTGTTAACAGATGACATTGGCTATTACATACTTCTGTAAATTTTAACAGGACTAAAGTATTAGCTGCTGTGCCAGAAGTGTACTTTTTAGCTTTTTATTATGATGGAAAATCAACGCTAGCTGTGATTCATTATTTTTGCTTCTTCCAGCAGTCAGATTAGGTCAGGAAACTAATTTATATACCTACTACAAAAATATGTGCATATTTGGTTTAATGTGTTGAACTTTTGTCAGATTCTTAAAACACATAATAGAGTTCCAAAAGGTGCTTCTTGAAATCTGAGGTGAGTCCAGGATACACAAAATAATTGAGAGAGCTACAGCTTTTTAAAGCATGTGAAAATAAACCTTCTATTTGTGTTCTCTTTCACT